TGGTTGAACATTCATTTAAACTCTGGACTCTGGTGATAAACTTGGTCTCTACTCAGACGTAAACTTTCCTTCTTGACTTTGTGTAAATCAGAAATCTGTGCATGTATGTTTAATATTTAAGTTCATGTTTGAAATATACATGAACACATGTGCGAGTACTTAATATAGAATTTTAAATGCACACACACTCAGATATGCAAAGATGTAAACGACACACGTGCTGCACTCGAGGCTGCCTGTATTGATTATCTATTATTAATTAATATTGGTAAAACTCTCACAAACCAACCTAATGGCTTCTGATGCCCATCAAGCACCAGATCCTGACATTAGAGAAGCTAATCTGGCCTTTTTGATTTTAAAAAAATGATTAAAATGATTGTAAAAACACCTGCAGGTTCATTTTTGGTTGATTAGTTGCATCAATCATATTAAGGTCTGAGGTGTTTATGTGACTGTAAAGATGTGTCGTCTGCAAACGTTTGTCCCCTGAACAAATGACATATCTATAGATCGTTATTTAAACTTTAAACTTGCACAATATACAATATATGTCGAAATAAATGCGTCCAGAGGAGGTAAAACTTCAGCGTCAGACTGTTCGTTCGCCTCCTTTACTTTGACGTATTGATTTAAATGCACTTAAGAGCAGCCGTGTAACACAAGAAGCAGAAAGAAGCCGATGGAGGCGACACGCAGCGAGGCCGAGGTTGAAGGACGTGGACGAAGATGGACGGCGGGAAGGTGACAGTTGACGGGTATTTTTAAATGAAGATGGGGGAGGAGGCGGGGGGAGGCAGGGCAGCTGAAAGCAGAGACGCCAGCCTCATGTTTCCTGTTAAACCTCCATCTGTGATATTAGAGCTTCGGCTCGTCCTCCGACTCAGACGGAGCTCCTGCAGGACGACCTCTGATCAACGCCTCGGAGCCGCAAACCCCCCGAACCGACCGACGGCCGCTTCCTGAAAACTTCTTGTCAGCGAGGAGCAGCGGGACGGAGCTCGAACCCGACAACCCTGCAGCTCCGCGAGCTAACTCCTGATCCAACCTCCACAATCTGCAATCTTCTCTATAATTATAAACGTCCCGATCTGAGTCATTTAATATTCAGCATCCGCCCATATCGAGTCCCAATCTGATCCCATCGTCCGACAAAACACACCTCAAGTACAGTCAAGTTATTACAATAATACAATACTTGAGGGGTTCAGTGCCAAAGCGGGCCAAACCACGAAACATCCAAAGATGAGTTTTATGTTCTTCTGATCAGTGTTTATGGTCTACCAGTTGGTGGCAAAGTGGTCCAACCAACAACCCACTAGTAACGTCACGATGCCACTTTAAAGTTTGGCCCATGAAGGTTTTGGCTTGAAAATTTAGGTTCAAACTGGGCCGAGCCACAGGAACCGCTGACCAGTACATCGCAGGTTGTGTTTGTGATTCAAGATGGCGGACAGCAAGCCTCAACTGGTAGGTACGGTGAGGTGAAACAACTTAACTAACCACCACCAAGCATCTATTTCTACCCCACGGTCCTCAGAAGTTCCTCTAGTTCCTGATGAACTCTTGAATGTTGCTCAACAAGACAAACCTGGAATCAGTTTTGGCCTCCAGCAATCAGAAAGGTAAGATTAAAGCTTAAATAAGTCATCACGAGGTAGCTGTTTCTATCTCTGGACGGTGTTGGAACATCTTTGGACGCATCTAATGACTCCTCCAACAACCAGGATTGTTGGAAAATTCCGACCCCATGTTTGTCTAAAACCAGTACATGTGGTTTGGACCACTCTGGCACCAACCCCCTACCGGATCTCTGCAATGCATTAAGAAAAAAACTGCATTTCTGCCTCCAATCTGTTCCATAACGTTCTGTAGGTGTTCATGAACTTCCTTGTAAAGCTCCAGTAGGATGTAACGTGTAGTGTTTGAGGATGTATTGAGGCTCCACAAGCTCCAAAAGAAAACCTGTATTCTCTACATGATGTCAGTAAACATATCGTAGACCAACTGTAGTACCTGGTTGTTCCACCAGGTGGAGCCTCTCACTGCTTAATCCAGTAGAGACCAGAGGAGGCGTCACTCAGACTACAGTTCATGTTGGCAGCAGAGTGCATTGTGGGAGTTCAGCTAGTAAAGGGTCACCATGACAAAGACTAATGAGGAGTTAGTGACCTCCGACCAGAGTTTTGGTGTTTAAGTCAAACTGGACTCAACCAGATCAGCCTTCCTGTGTCCAGCAACATATCAAACACAACTGTCTTCACAAGCAGGTTGCTGCATTGCTAGGATCGTTCTTCTTCATCAATCCCATAATACTGATGCTTAAAGCTGGAGACAGAAAAAAATCAAACAGAAACCAGATCCAGGTTCAGACTGTGACTCCTGGATGGATGTAGAACTGATCTGGTGTCAGGTTCTACCAGAACCCAGATGTGTTCTTCCTCCTAAATGTCATGTGTCTATCTGCTGTACTGATGAAGTTCTGAGGCTCAGAAATTACGGAAAAAGTTCATTAAAGTGATCAATGTGGACCCTCCTCTGTGGACTTATTTCAGATTTGGACACTTGATGGAGAATATCTGAGCTAAGACAGAGCATTAAGTTGGCCCTGAGGATACGTGCTGCTGCTGCACAAATTAACATAATCTTTGATGCATTTTGATCTCTTTAGTCTAATTACTGTAACATATAAATGTGCCATAAAGGATCAAAATATCTCCTCCATAACTCCAACAGTCTTCATGCTAAACACTTCCGCAGTGGTCCCTTTGAAAACATCGACTGCTCGTCGAGTAATAAACTAATTATTGAAAAATACTTTGGCATCAGTACGTAAGAAATGAATGCATTTGCTGACAGAAACAGTGTGGGAACATTTTTTTGGAATGCAGTGTAACATGTTTGAAATTGAAAAACAACTTTATAATTAAAGATATTATTATATTTAAATTATTATATGACCAATAAATTCTACATCAAAATCTGAAGACTCATTCAAGATTTTTACTTGTCCAGCAAACACGATCGGAAATATAAATCAGACGGAACCGGAGGTGTTTGAATCTCAGCTAACATTTTCCAGGCTTCCAGTCTTTGTGCTAAGCTAGGCTAACGTCATCCTGGACCTGCAGCCACCCAAGAAACTCAATATTCTCATCTAACTCTAGAGACAACGTCATGAAGATGAAACTAGAATCAGGTTAAATAGAAGTATAGAGGCACCAGGACGCTTCCCTGGGGAACTCCACAAGTTACAAACTTCACATATCAGCTGTTTTACATCGATCTGTTCTTCCTCCTTCACCGCCTGACTTTTCTCTACACCAGAAAGCCTGAAGCTGCTGCCGTCCACGGCTGTGTTAGCCTCACCTTCGATGGGTCTGGGGACAAAGTGTGAGCAGGGTTTGGTCTTCTTCACTCGGTTTCCCTTCATGATGACTCCGTCCTTGTTGAGGCCCAGGAACCAGGCTCGGCCCGACTCGTGCTGCCGGTACAGCGTGGACGAGTAGATGACGTAGTAGTTCTCGAACACCGACTCCTTGAACTTGCACTCTGCTGTGAACACATCCTGACGCACAGAAACAGAGAAAACAGGAAGTTTTTATTCATCATAAACCAGAAGTGAACTTTTTTCACACTTTGTTTTGCCTGAAACCTCACAACTGAGTAGGGAGGCACATTTAAAACAACTTTCTTAACCGATGTCTGGCGGCGTTATCAATCGGTAATCGGATAATAGATGAAATCTAATGGACACTTTTCAATATTCTGATAAAGTCATTTTTAAGAACACACACTCAGGAAATGCTGTTTTGGTTAAATTTGTTTTGTTCAGTTAGTTTTCAACACATGAGCTCTGATTAGAGGTCATTAACTGTCAACTGTAGTCTGAGTGACGCCTCCTCTGGTCTCTACAGTATTAAACAGGAAGAGGCTCCACCTGGTGGAACAACCAGGTACTACAGCTGATGTATGATACATTTTCTGACATCCGTGTTGCTGGTTTTCTGCCTCATCAGTTGATGTTAGGGATGTTCTGTGTCCAAACCAAAAGTGTAAAAGGTAAGTGAAGAAACTAATCCAAGGAAACTGAATTAAAAGATCTAAAAGGTTACCAAAAAAAAAGCACTAACCAGATGAGCCTAAGGTAGAAGTTGGGCAAGTTAACCAGGTAACAAAACAGGATTCAAAGAACAAGCCGGAATCAGAATGAGGAGAACCAGGAGGTGAAAATGTGGTACGAAAACAGGACAAACCGACAAAAGACAAGAAGACGCGGGACTATTTATAAACCGAGAACTGATTAGAAAGACTCAAGTGAAGCTAATGAGGGCGTCTAACAGAGCAGGGAAACCGGACAAAGGCAGGAAGTAAAAAAACATCAAGTGATTATCAGTCTGACTAATTATCGAGGCATTTTTCTAGTAATCGATACGCTAGGCTAAGGCTATTAGCTGCGCCTTTTAGCAGTTAGCACTAGCATCTTTGTGAAGTCAGATCAACTTCACAACTCTGTTCTAACCGACAGACGTCTTTCTAGCGGAGACACAACCCGCAACAACTGACAAACATCTCCACAGATAGGGAGGCTAACAGCTAATGGCTAACGGCTAGCGGCTAAGTTAGGAGGCAACAAAGATTAATGTGAAACTGCGTCTGAAAAATAGTAACTAATCATGTTTTAAGATGTGGACAAAGAAAGGTTATGAAAACAGGAGCAGCAACCGGGGTGTTGATTGTCAAACTTTTAAAAATAAAAGAGGAAACAACGCTCCAACAAATGATCACAGTTTAATAAAAACCTTCCCCGTGAGCTGCTGTGAGAGCTGTTGAGAATCCATCATCGCGACGCGCCGAGCCGCTAACGAGGCGCTTCAAACACCTTGAAGGTGTCCGGATCGATGGCGGGTCGGTTACACGTTTTTAAAATGACGGCACATTCGATTTTATGTTGTTCATCTGAGCGTGAGGAGGGACATCCATCATTTATCGGCTCGCATTTAAAAGCGAACCATCAGCGCTACACGTCGGGCTCAGCGGTAACACTAGAGCTGCTTTGTTCGCTGCCGTCATGTTAAAAACACAAAGAGGTGAACGGGATCCTATTTGTGGAACAGGGTCGCGTATTTATACACTTCACAGCTTTGCTTTTACTCTCCTTGTTGTGTGCACGAGCTTCTGACTGTATCATCTGTGTTTCATGTGGCTTCGAGTCCTTTGTGCTGCATGTTGGGCTTTAATTCTGCTCCAGAAATAGAGATTACTGCCAGTGTTATCTACTTATTGTGCTTCTGGAGGTGGGAATTCAGGATTTTAGCAACATCTTGGAACCAGTGAGCCTGATTCCATGTAGAAGGATTCCCTAAAGCTCCAGGGTGACACGATTAGAGATTTTGTACTGTTTTTGTCTTAAAATCGAATTATATTGCAGCATTACTTCATATTAAACTGTAAAACCTGAAAGAATTGTTGGATTTTAACATGTTCTCAGGTTTTCTCTGCGAAAAAAAACCCACCAAATCTGTGCTTGTCAGTTAAAATTTTGTCAAACATTAACCGTTCGCTGCAACCAAATTCCGTAAAAATCAGAAAATTCAGCGATCCTCGACGTCATGACCGACTCGGCTGCAGCCAACAGACATGTAGAGAAAATTGAGGGAGTTTTCAGCTGAACTGCAGCCAGCGTTTCCACAGAGCAACGAGGATACGAGCGTGAAAACCAAAAAAAAAAAAGTAAATAAGGTTAATATCTGTAGTATGTGGAGCCTCCATGACATTATTTAGTCTCTTTTTTGGGTTAAAATCTGGATTTAAATACTGTTTTTGCATCATTTATCAGCCTTTTCTCTGCTCTGTTGAGGCTTCCAGACTTTGTGCTAAGCTAGGCTAACGTCATCCTGGACCTGCAGCCACACAAGAAAGTCAATATTCTCATCTAACTCTGGAGACAACGTCATGAAGATGAAACTAGAATCAGGTTAAATAGAAGTATAGAGGCACCAGGACGCTTCCCTGAGGAACTCCACAAGTTACAAACTTCACATATCAGCTGTTTTACATCCATCTGTTCTTCTTCCTTCACCTCCTGACTTTTCTCTACACCACAAACCATCCTCCACCTGAAGCTGCTGCCGTCCACGGCTGCGTTAGCCTCACCTCCGATGGGTCTGGGGACAAAGTGTGAGCAGGGTTTGGTCTTCTTCTCTCGGTTTCCCTTCATGATGACTCCGTCCTTGTTGAGGCCCAGGAACCAGGCTCGGCCCGACTCGTGCTGGACGAGTCTGATCTGTTGAGTTAAAATCTCACTCTGCTGCTGTTTGAAGTCCCAGTTTAGCACATTGAGCTTCCTCCAGGTATAACAGGTGTGTGTGTGTGTTTGTTGTGTGTTTGTCCTCTGAACAGGTGGTCGAGTCGAGCCAATCAGAGCAGAACAACCCCCCACGGATCACAGACACCTGTTCTAATGTTTAATTCTCCAACCTGGAGACGTTCAATCTGCTCGATTCGAGGCCGTTCTGAACAGAAACAATCAGCAAATCGACCCCGAACTGTTGACGCGCCTCAAAGTTTCAGGTCTGAGCTGTTTAAAGGGATTAATGACGACTAAAGCGGACAAGAAGTAAACGAAAAAGATGCTTAAAATGAATAATACTAGAAGAAGAAATCAAATAAAACTAGATAAACAGACAAACTGTAAATAAGAAGAGTTTAGAACCTGACTTTGACGTTATTTTACAGATTAGTTTGTTTGTTTAGTTTAATTTCTGATGATTTTCTGTAAAATCACAGATTATGTGCAAATTAACTGTTAAACTGTAACTAATGTCCACATTAAACATCAGTGCTTTCATTTCATATTTATAATGTGAGACCATAAAATTACACATGATCTCCTTCACAATAAAAGTCCTCAATCTTCTTTACAGGAAGTCAGTTTTGCTGCTTCACAGTAAAAGTCCTCTTTTTACTTCACAATAAAATTACACAGTAAAAATATTATTTTACAGACATTTGTCATTATTTTAATTTTTAAAAAAACAACAAAAAAACCCATCTAATTTAAGGATAGAAAGAAGCTTAACCATTCAGCTGTTATTTTTATGTTTCACAGTTTGGCTAAATTACAGATAATAACGAGTAAAATCACACAACAACAAAAAACTCCCAAAACATTAATATAAATGGTAGATGTTTAAAAAAATCTAAAACTTTAAATCATGTCCACGTCAAAAATCTGCATTTTTAAAAACAGTAATTTGATCATAAAACTACAGTTTGGCTGCATTTAAATCAACTAAAGGTGTCACTATTTTAGGAGTATTTGCCTTATTAATAATAATAACAATAATAATAATAATAATACATACGTTTTGCAGAGCGCTTTTAAAAGAAACTCAAAGACGCTTTACAAACAAATCCATGCATAATGTATATTTGCCACTACCTTCAATGTTTCTACAGTTTTTGATCGTTGCATTATTCCATCATTTCTGACATATTTCTTATTTCAACCTCCTGCCAGACTTTCAGACAGATGACGACACAGAGGAAGAGGAAGAGGAAGAGCTTCAGGAGGATGACGAGGAAACAGAAGGAATAAATGATGAAAACAGTTTTTTCTTCCCTCCCAGCAGGAATCCTGCGTCTCGTATTCTAACATGTGATGGTTGAGGTAAACAGCGCTGAGACGTGTCGGCCTCCAGCTTCACTCTGCTGCCGCTGAGGCTGGTTTTATGTAACTGAGCAGAGACGACGAGCAGCAGAAACATCTCACTGCAGCGCTGCCACGAAGGCTCAGGATTCATCTGTGATCTGGATTTTGATGCATCATTCGGCATCAGTGAGTTCAGAGAAAACGAGGCTTAAAGGCTCCAAGTGGAGCTGAAGAGCAGCTCAGTGTGGAGGAACAACAGCAAACAGCTGGAGGTGAAGGATTTAGGATTTGTTGATGCTGAGTCGTAATCTGATGATGTTTTCATATTAAATACACACTTCAACACATTAACGGCATTAAAATCAATCCAGTGCACATACTGAACACCTGCACAGCTCTGCACAGACTACATGTCTGCACTGAGTTGATAAGACAAGATGTAATAAGATATGACAAAGCAAGCTAAGCTAAGCTAAGCTAACGTAAGATAATATCAGACCAACAGCAGGTGTTCAGGAACCTTCATGTAAAGCTCCGATAGGACATTCTGTCTGTTTAACTAGTCATAGAGCACTTCTGTAGCATATAATGGCTTCTAGGAAGAGCTCAAGACAAGCTAAGCTAAACTAAGCTAAGCTAAGCCAAGCTAATGTAAGATAAGATAAAATAATAAAAGACCATCAGTGTAAGGCTCCGGTAGGTAACTGTCTAACTAGTAATAGAGCACCATGACAGATAAACGCTTCCAGACAGAGCTCACAATGAGCTAAGCTAAGCTAAGCTAAGCTAAGACAAGATAAGCTACGATAAGATAAGAGAGAACTTCATAAATCTTGAAGGAAATTCTTGTGCCAGATATTGCTTCAAAAAAGTTACATAACACGAGAATAAATGGAGCGGCGAACAGAACAGCAATAAAATATAGATACGATGCATTAGTGACAAAAAAAAAAGTTCAAATAAGACGAGAGCAAAACTGTCAGAAGTAATTCTGATGTATTCGAGTAACGTTACACATGAAACTGAAAGGAAACGAAAGCTGGAGTTCAGGAACCTTGTAGGACACTGTCTGCTGTACCATAGACCAGCTGCAGTACCTGGTTGTTCCACCAGGTGGAGCCTCTCACTGTTTAGTACTGTAGAGACCAGAGGAGGCGTCACTGTGGAGGTTAGCTAGTAAACCATGACCAAGACTTCTAGTTAATGACCTCCAACCAGAACCCGTAATGAGTTTGGATCCAGGTTGAGTATTAAAGGTTCTCATGTTCTGATAACAACGGAACAACTGAAGGTTTCCCATGAGGCCTCAGCACGGGTCCAGCCGAGGCTTCTGGGAAACAGAACCAGGATGGGATAACGTGGTGTTTGTTAACACGGGAGTCGGACTGGATGTCGTACACAGAGAACACATCGCATCGCTTTAAAGTTTGATGGAGGCAGCAGACATGAATAATGGATGTCAGATGGACGAGGCGGAGCAACAACAACGAGCGCCGATCGTTCCATTATTAACGGCGCCTTTTAAACCGTCTCCAACCGGAGCTTCAAAACACGACGTTAAAAAAGCAGATGTTTCCTCTGAGAAGAATCCGATCCACGAGATAACGTGAGGGTTTGAGGGAAACGTCCTGAAACAGGATCGACTGGAAACGGAGTCGAAAATAAAAGAGAAAGTTTCTGTCTGGTCCGAATCATTCAGTCAGAATGTTTAAAGAAAGAAGAGAAGTTAGTCTCTGAAAGCTGCTTCACAATAAAAGTCCTCAATCTGCTTTGCAATAGAAGTCACCTATCTCCTACACAATAAAAGCCCTACAGCTAATTCACAATAAAAGTCCTCAGTCTGTTTCACAATTAGTCAGTTTAGCTGCTTCACAATAAAAGCTTCTGTTTTCTCGTCACAACAAAAGTCATCTTGCTACTTAACTATTAAAGTCCTCTCGTTGCTTCAAAATAAAAGCCATCTAACCACTTCACAATAAAAGCCCTTCAGCTCCTTCACAGTAAAAGTCCTCTTTTTACTTCACAACTAATGTCATCTCACTTCTATGATAAAAGTCCTCTGCCTGTTTCAAAGTAAAAGCTTTTTAGCTGCTTTACAGTGAAAGTCACCGATCTCCTTCACAACAAAAGTCCTCTGTCTACTTTAACATGATCGTGCTTCAGCTGCCAAACAAAAACGTCCTCTAAGTACTTCACAATAAAAGCCATTTATCTACTTCACAATAAGAGTCATCGATCTACTTCACAGTAAACGTCCTCTATTTACTTCAGATTAAAAGTTGTTGCATCACCAAAACAAATCCCTTTACTTCAAAGTAAAAGCCCTTCCTCTGCAGTTGCTTCAAAGTAAAACTTGTATCACCAGTAAAGTGAGTTTAAAATCAAACTGAGCTCCATGTTTGGGGCATTTCTAAAATCTTCTTTAAGCTGAACAGAAACCTGTGAACCTTCACAATAAAAGCCTTAGCTGAGCAGGAGGCCGTGGCGCTGAGGGCGGGGCAGCGTTTCTTACTGATGTGTAGAGGAATCCCTCGGCGTTCATGGCCACGTACAGTCCAGCCTTCACTCCCTGGATGGCCACGACCCGCAAACCCACCGGGATCAGGTTGAACAGGGCTGCAGGGCGAGAGACACAGAGGGAGACAGGGAGGGAGGGAGAGAGAGAGAGAGGTTAGTACAGAGGTAGGAACAGCTGCTGGTAGGTGCATTAATACTATATATATACAGTATATATGTAGCTACCACTCTTAAACACTAGATTAGATTAGATAGAACTTTATTGAACAGCCTGGTGTGTAGGTGAGTATATAAAATATAAATGTGAATCAAATATATAAATATAAGATGAATAAATACACATATCAATAAACATAGGTGTATATATACAATAACTGAGCACCATCTATAATCTATGACACTCTGTGGACTCAAACACTTACAATCAGGACCTTAAAGACAAAAGAATCAAATAAAAATCATTAAATGTGCATTTTTTAAAACAAATTTTTCATTGCAGCATCATTTTTTATTATTTTTTCCCCACAAAAGCAGCAAAAGCACCATTTCCCCCCCAACCCACCACTTATTAAGTTAAATGTCATGATTTAAGCAAACAAACTGGTATTTACTGGTTTACAAAAAGTTAAAATCTGGACCTTAAAGACAAAAATGTCCCAATTAAAAACCATTAAATGTGAAATTTTTGAACTAGTTTTCATTACAGACATAAATATATTTATGTCAGTTTTTTTACTTTAATGTTTTTGTCATGAAAAGTCAAAAATAATATGAATATATATCAAATCAGTGTCGTTATTAATCACTGCCACAGACGGTTATAATAATAAAGAATCACCTGCAACTAAATTCATTCTAAAAAATAAAACACAAATTCAATTTTTGTTCTACTTTTTAAAGAAAATTAACAGCGATGTCAACAAACGGGCATTTAAAGAGAAACAATCCTAAAAAATAATTCATATGTTTTTTAATTATGATCTGAACTGATGCTGGTTTAAAGTATTTAATCAGAAAAAGTAGAAATTAGATTAATTTATAATATTTCTGGTCGTGTTTTTGCTGCAGATGTTTTAGTCTTTAAGGTCCTTCAGGTTTAGAATCGGTGTTAAAAACCTGAAAATGACTGAATATTGTCTCGTTATGATCAGAACCGACCTAAAAGTGTAAAAGTAAACTAATGCAAAATATTTCTGGTCGTGTTTTTAGTCTCTGAGCTCCTCAGTGTGAGCTTAAAAAAATAAAAAATCTTCATCAGAATCAGTGTTAAATACCTGAAAATGAATAAATAATCTGGTTATGACCAGAACTGATGCTGGTTTAAAGTATTTAATCAGAAAAAGTAGAAACTAGATTAATTTATAATATTTCTGGTTGTTTTTGCTGCAGATGTTTTGGTCTTTAAGGTCCTTAGAGGGAAAAAAATAAATAAATCTGCATCAGAATCGATTTAAAAACTTGAAACTTGCTGAATATGTTCTAGTTTTGATCAGAACTGATGTAAAAGTGTAAACTGAAGCTGATGTTCAGTGTTTCTGGCGTCTGAGCGTCTTTAAGGTCCTCAGTGCGACTCACAAACCGACGCCAGAGGATTCAAAGTGCTTTTGTCGACGTTTCCCTTCAGACTAATAAAAGACAAACGGACAGGAATCCAGCTGCTGTCTTCACCTGTGTGGGTCCACACAGTAATCCCATTACAGCCTTTCAGGTCGTGGGTTCTGCGCCGCGCTGATGCGACGCCGTGCAGCCGGCTGATAAAGGAACGAGGCTGAACAACGGACGGAGTGATGGGAGGTGATTTAATCCTCGGAGAGCTGCAGTGTGGGTGAGGACGAGGAGGTGGAGGAGGAGGAGGAAGAGGCCCGTGGCGATGGCTGCTGCTAATCCTCCTTTATTTAACGCTGAGATGATCTGAGCGAGAGAGAGAGAGAGAGAGAGGGGAATCCAACACATCTCCTCCTCCTCGTCTTGTCCTCCTTTTCCTCCAGAACACAGGATTTCAGCAGCAGAAGCTCTAATCCTGAGCAGGAAACGTGTCCGAGCAGCAGCCGGGTCGGTCCCGGACGGTGAAGCGTGTTCTGGACGGTGTTTCCTAAAACACGGCCGAGTCAGAGTGCTTCTTAAAATAACGCGTCTTCATGTTGAATTCATCGCGTCACGGTTTAGCAAAGTGAGCTCTAATGGAGTCGGATGTTCTCCTGAAATCCAGAACCATGTTTCTGCTCAGCTTCATGAATATTTACGTCCTCGTCGTCGTCGACGACCGTGTGAGCAACCAAACGGCTAAAAATAAAGTACAAGGGAACAAATGGATCAAAGCAGATGAACATCAAGCAGCAGGTTCTGTCACGTTTTTACTGTGATATAAAGTTCTTGTAGATATTTACAGATGTTTTCTCTCTGATCTCCAACATCTGGCTGCTCTGTTCACTGGTTCTGAGCCGTGCTGCCTTTAGTTGATGAATTTCTCAGCCTCCAGTCGTCCAAAATGATTTGAAACTCGTCCAAAGTGACATTAAATGGTCCAAAAACGAGTCGAAAATGGTCCAAAACAACTTAAAACTGTCTAAAATGCCTCAGAAATTCTTCAAAATTACTTGAAAAGTGTTGAAAGTGATTCTTTTTCAGCCTTTATGGACAATTTCAATCATCGTTGACCAGTTTTAGTCCAGTTTTAAGTCTCTGTTCGTCTCATGTTCCACCATCAGCTGGATGGATCTCCAACAACATGCTCCTCTGTTCTCTGGTTCTGATCCGTGCTGCATTTACTTATTGATCCAGTAGGTTGGATTTCCCTCTCAGACGATCTAAGATGGTCCAAAATGACTTTATAAATGTCTAAAATAACTTGAAATTAGTTTCAAATGCTAATGTTTGAGTCACTAAGAACAATTTGTCATTTTGAACCATTTTAGTCCAGTTTTGAGTCTCTGCTTCTGCTTTCTCAGCCTAAAATTGTGCAAAAGTATTTGAAACTTGTCCAAACTGACAGTAAATTCTCCAAAAACGAGCCAATAATGA